GGGGCAGCTGCAGAGCTGGGTGTGCTGGGGGCACAGAAGGCAGAGGACAGCCCCATCCTGCACCCGACTCTCAGGGCTGTTTGCCCCCCCCATTGTGTTTATTAAACCCCCCGGTACCTTTCCCTGCCCCGTGATCTGGTCTTTCCTCCCGCCAGCATGAGGCCCACGGAGGTGCCCAACCTTCCATTGCCCGGTGACCAGCGGGCGCTGGGGAGGCAAGGGGAGATCGTCCAGCTGGGGGGAAGAAGGGACTATTTTCCTTCTTTCCAGGGTGGAGGAACACCTGGGCTAGAGGAAGCTGTGTGTAGAGCTGGCCCTGTAAGAGGAAGTGGTGGGGGGGGGGAGTGACTGGGCGTGTGCTCGGTACAGCTGGGGAGGGGGGAGGGTGGCTGGGGTTGGGGGGTTCCCTTTAACATGAAGGGTTAATGATCCTTTGCCAGTGCAGCGTCCGAGAACACTTTGGTCATGTGAATGAATTCAGCCTCCCAGCGCCAGGAGCCCCACTTTATGGGGGGGTGGGGACTGAGGCAGGGGGGAGGGAGTCTCTCCGTTCAGAGTCAGCTGTGTGCTCGGAGCTGTACAGGGCCTGGCTGCGACGGGGTGGGGGTGGAGCAGTCAGGATGTGCTGGGAGGGTTTTCGCCTAGCGCTGCTGTTGGAGTGAGGGGGGGTAGCGCCTTGGGGCGCTGGAGCTGCCGGCGCTTGTCCGTGTGTTGGGGGCAGAGCAAGAATGGAACCCAGGTGTCCGGCCCCTCGGGCCGCCTGCTCTGGTCACAAGCCTCAGACGCGAGGGAGCAGCAGGGCGCTGGGGGCCCTGGTGCAGTGGTTGTGCCAGGAGATGGTTCTTGGGCCAGGCAGGTTCTGCTCCCGCAATGGATACACATTTCTCCCCTGATCCCATGGCCCAGGCTGAGCGGAGGAGCCGGCCCATGCTGTTCCTAGACTAACCATATGGGGGTGCCACAGAGCAAGGTTAGGCCAATTCTCTCCAGGCAGGAGCCCTAGCCTCTAACCTGGCCAGGAGTGGGGGGCAGCACCCCTCGCCTCAGGGGTGTTATATTTGGGGGCGCCCCCTGAGCGTGGAGGGTGCCAAGGGGGTGAGGGAGCCTGTGTGTGGTGGCTCTTCCCTGCCTGTCTTCCAGGGGGGGCGTCTCCGGAGCTGGGGGTCCCCTGGGCCAGCCGTGGAAAAACATGGGGCTAGGAGCAGCTCCGCTTCCAGGGGCGGAGAGTAAACAAGGGAAAAACCGGCCTGAACGTCACGTCCCGGGGCAGTGTCTCCGCATCAAGCAGAAAGCCGGGGCTCTGGTGGCTGTAGCCCTCCGTCCCCCCTCTCTCTGCTGCAGCCTGCTCCCTGCGTGCCCTTTCCAGGGGCTGGGCCGGCCCCCCCTTGGCAGCCTGGCTCTGTTTCCAGCGTGTGGCCTTTGGCTCCTCTGCCTCACTGGCCCCACGCTCTCCCCTGGGGCTCGTTACCGCTGGGGTTCCCGGCCTCCTGCTGAGGAAGCCCTTGTTTGGATGGGTTATTTATAGAGGATTTCCTGATGCTCCTCCAAGTAACGAGCTTCCCCCCTGCTCTTCCAGCGGGGTGGGGGGACCAGAATCCAGGAGCCAAGTCCCCTGCGGGCCCGTCCTGGGCAGTGCTGGGGACAGGCGCTGGAGCGACAGCCCTGGGGCTGCTGCCCTGTGCCCTGGGAGCAGGGTGAAACCACTGCAGAGGCCTGATTCTCCGTTACCTCCTCCTGGAGTGTGTGTATGTGTGGGGGGATGGTGTCTGGCTGGCTTTAAGCCACCTTTGTGCACCCCCTGTTCTAGGGCAGGGCCCTGCCTGGTGCCCGTCACAGCAGCCTTGGGGCTGCTCTAACTTACACTCTGCTCCCCATAACTCCAGGGAACAGCTGCAGCACAGTCTCCCCCCCATGGCCCCGCTCTGCCCCCTGGGGCTGGGGACAGGGTGGGCGCAGAGTCCTTAGGCCAGCTCCACGGTGGCCAGGGAGGTGCGTGCACATGGCAGGAGTTGGGGGGCTGTTTCCACCTCCTTTAAGGCCCCCTTGTGTGGCCAGAGGGGCCGAGCAGGGCCTTGGTGTAGCTGTGAGGGGTTGAGCCTGGGGGGTGACAATCAGTTCGCAGGAGGGGACGGGAGGGGAGTTTAGGGTGCTGCGGAGAGTGGGGTCAATATTGGGCAATGTGGCCTCCCTTCCAGCCCTGGTGCATGCGGCCGGAGCAGAGTTTCCCAGGTGCAGCAGAGCCATCACCCTTGGGTGCTCCCCCCAGGCTGTGCTGCCTCCTGAGCGTGGGGCGCAGCAGCTCCCGGGCGAGGAAGGATGGGGCGGGTCCCGGGTTCCACGTGCCATAGGCGAGGGGGAAGCCGTTTCAGTCCCAACGGCGTGGTACAAGTCCACAGCTCTGGCAAGTGCCTACCCTGTGGCCTTGTGTAATCAGAGAGCAATCCATGTTTGGATGGCCCCTTCCTGGGGCGGGGCGGGGGCTGTTCTGTTCCCTGTCACGGCTCCCCCTGAGCTGCGACTTTATCTGCTAATTGGGGTTCAGTCTGATTCGCACTTGGGTGGGGGGCTCTCCCCTCGCAGCCAGTGCTGGCCCCACCGTCCCTGCACAGTGCTGAGGGCTCAGAAGGGGGGCGCGCCCCTCAGCGCTGCCCTGCAGGTAGGGGGTGCTGTGAGAGACAGGTCCTGAAAGCTCTCATGAAACCGTTTGTTCATTCACCGCCTTGTCCTGACCCACTGCCACCTCTGGGGGTTCCTTTGACCTTCCTAAATCCTGCTCCCCCACGATTCTAAATGTCAACTGGATACATAATTATCCTTTAGTCCTCCCATAGCGTTGCTGTGCGCTGTTAAGCTGCTGCCTTCTCCCCCAGAGGTGGCTGCATTTCGGTGGCAGGGGAAAGTCCGTGATTCCTGTGAGCAGGGCTTGTGACTGGCTTTAGGATGTGATCTAAAACCCTGACCACGCACTCAGCGCCGTGCAGAGAGCCAGGAGGATGCAGGGACTTCCCAAAGGAGTTCACAATCTAGCACCGAGTGTTAGGAAAGACTGATTATACGCTCGTAAGGGGAGATAAGGCCCAGCCATAAATCAGACCATGGCAACAACACGGCTGCTCTCCAACTCTAGCGTGTCCTGCAGGTTTCTGAACTAACCCTGTCATCCTGCCAAGGCTCAGGGCCATCCGTAGGAAACGCAGCCTTGCCCAGAACTGAGCCGCACGGTATGATTAATGTATTTAACACGAATCGCTTTCAGTCACTCGGTTTCCTACTTCTGTGGCACCGTTTGTATCTAGTGACTCCTGGGGGGTGTCTGGGAGCTAGGACTCCGGGGTTCTGTTCCTGGCTCTGGGAGGGGCAGTGTAGCCTAGCAGTTCGAGACACACGAGTCAGGACTCCAGGGTTCTACTTCCAACTCTGCCACTCGCTTACTGTCACGTCACTGCTCTGTGCCTCAGTTTACCCCTCTGTAAGAGGGCCTGATAACTCCCTTGTCTGGCGGCTCTGAGACTTAACTAACTTCCATGTCTTGCACTGAGGGCTGCTGAAACCCAGCTCAGGTCTAGAGGGGAAGTGGCTTTGAGTTGAGGGCCAGGGCCTCTAGCGCCCAGCCTCACTGGCCGCAGGACATTTCCCCTCTGGCGGCACCGGAGCCAATGGGGCCTGCAGGGAAAGTCCAGGGAGGCCATTTATTCAGGCCGCTTTCCTTGTCCAACAAACCAAGGCTTTGGGGCTAGATTTCCGGCCTGAGAGGATGCTCTTGTGTCAGCGTCTGGGTGGGGGAGCTACCCCTCTGCCGGGGGACTGAAAGGGGAACATCCCCAAGGGGGAGGCAGAGGTGGGACTGAGAGCAGGGACTCCAGGTGGGTGCAGCCCGCTGTAAGTGAGCGGCTGACCTAAGTGGGGCCAGATGCCCTTGGTTTACCCAGCAAAACTCCCATGGATTATCCACCCGTCACTGGATGCTTCTCGCTCTCTGGGGCCACCAGCGCTTGCTCCGTGGAGCAGGAGAGGGGAATTCCCTTTCCTTGGAGGGTGGGGGCAGAGGGGGCAGTTATGACAGGCCAACAGCCTGGAAGCAGATAGTTTGACTCCCCCCACCATGATCCCAGGCCCCAGCATCGTCTGTTTGCCACTCCTGCCACCCTGCAGCTGGAACGGCGGGCGCGGGTGGCACAGGTGTGCTGCTGCCTGCCTGGGGCTTGTTCTCGTGTGCGCCCCTCTCCCCCGCAGCCCGCTCCTCTGGGGCTGAGAGCAGGCGCCGGCACTAGCCCCTCTTCGGCGCGGCTGGAGCTGGCAGCCGGGCCGAGGTTGGAGCGATCCATGAGCGGGAATGAGGCCACGTGTGCAGAATTCCTGGACGGAGGCCACTGGGCCGGGCTTGGATCCTGCCCCCTGCAGTTCTGGGAACGGGCTTCAAGGTTTCTTTGTTTGGGTCCCAGCTTGGCCTGGCTCTTCCTGCGGCACCTGTCAGTCCCTTCCTCCGGGGCGGCCAGAACGGGACGTTCCCCGTCGGCTCGAGATCTGGGCCCCGCTCGCAGCCACCCAGACTCCTCGGCACCGCTTGCCCGGGGGCTTCGGGGACGCGGGCGGTGGCTGGGCCCAAGGCAGGGGGAGTTGACTCAGAACAGCAGCTGATGGCCTTGGTGGACAGGGCAGGTTGGGGGGTGGCAGAAGAGATGAGGCACAGGGGGACGTGTGTCCCCTGCCCCCTCCCCCAATTCTCCTGTCCTCTTCCGAACTCTGGGGCAAAAGCCCCTTTGGGAACCCAGCCCCCTACCTACCGTCACCCCCACACACACCCCCAGCCCCCCTGCTGCACAGGGGCCCACCAGGACCTTCCGAGTCCCCAGCCTTGGCCCAGGGCAGGGGACTCCGCTTGGGCCAGGGTCAGCGAGAGCGGAAGCAGACCCACCGGGTCCCACCCCCGACTCCCTGCCCAGCCCCCCGTGACCGGCTGGCCAGCGGGCGGAACAAAGCACGCAACACCCAGGCCGGGCTGCCGTCAGGCGTGTATTCAGTGCGGAGTGGAAGAATTACAGCAAAGCGCCATGAGCCTCCGCCGCATCGCTCGGCTAATCAGCGAGAGAGGCCGGAGCCGCCCCGGCGGTTCCCCTTCGCCTCCTAGCCCTGCGTTCATATTCATGGCAGATCCTGCACCCCCTGGGCTGTGGCATTGGGCAGGGCCCCAGGGTCTAACCTCCCTGGGATGGGGTGAGCTGCAAGGGCCCCACCGGCAAAAGGCTGGGGAAAGGGCTGCAGGACTGGAGGGGTGTTGGAGCCGCGGAGCCTGAGCAGACCAGGGGCTTGAGGTCTGGGCAGGGATGCATGAGTGGCTGGAGGAGGGCGGGGGTGAGGCTGGAGCAGGGGTCAGGCCCAGGGGTGGGAGGACAGAGGGGATCTCAGCAGGGATAGTGAGGGTGAGTAAAGCCCAGAGAGTTAGTGGGGTCAGACAGAGGGAGCCATGGTCCTCCCCCACCCCGGGGTGGGCCTGTGCCGTGCTGCCAGGTCTGGCTAGACCCCCCCACCCAAAGGGCTACAAGTCGGAGGGGGGGGCTGCCAAAGAGCGAGATCAGCATGAGCTCCCCTCCCGCCAGCACACCCAGCTTCCGGGGCTGGCGAACCAGGGGTAACTGGACCAGGAATAAGGGGCGGGAGGGGGAGGCCCAGAGAGGGTGTGTGTGTCTGGGGTGAGCGTGAGCTGGGCGATCAGAGTCTGGCCAAGTGTGTGTGTGCGCGAGAGATTGGAGCTGGGGGCGGGCTGTAAGATGGATTGCAGCTGTGTGGGTGGGGGAGATTCACATGTATGTGTTTGCGCCTGGCTGTAAGTCTCTGCCCTGGCGTGTCTGTCTGTGTGAGCGAGAGCGATTTCAGGCCGTGCACCAGCTCAGTCTCCGAAGTTTCTTGCCAATCAAGTTGCGTTTCCTCCAGCTCAGCTCCCGGCCTCTGCTCCCCATGGCCTTGCTCTCTCGTTAGCCGCTGGCGTGGAAAAGAAAACAGTGAGAAAGGTCGGCGCTAACGCCGCTCACACGCCGCCCGAGTGGCCGCGCCCGGGTTCCTGCCCTGCGAGGAAGCCGCCGACCGCGGTGGTATCCTGCTGCCCCAGGATATCCCGGGGCCCCTGCCCTCTGCCCCCATCAAAGAGCCCAGACAGGCTGCTGCTGGGCTTGGGCAGGTTCTCATGGCCCCAGGCTAGCCCGTCTCCAGTAAACAAAGGGCCCGATCCTGTGCCCGCTGGAGTCACTGGCCAGACTCGGTATTGCCAGCTACTGTACAAGGCCCCACCCCCCACCCCAAGCCGCTCAGGAAATGCTCCGTGGGGGTCTGATCCCACGCTCCTCCCCCCTCACGGCGTCCCAGCGACCCCCTGCACTACTGCACAATAACAGCGCCTGCAATACATGCTTTGCTCTTGGCCCCCAGCGCCTTGCCTTGTAAACGCTAACGACCCCTCCCTCCACGTTGCCCCCAGGGGGCAGGTGAGCATCGCTGTGAAACAGGAGCTCTGTGCCCCGACCCCCAGGAAATGCTCTTTGAGCGCAGCCAGCAAGAGACGTTAGTTCTATCCCACGCTCCACCCACATGCCAGCTGCTTTACGCCGCGACGGAGTCTACTCATGGGGCTTCTTAACTGAGCAGCAGGGTGAGGCCAGATGCTGCCTGACCCCAACTCTCATGCTTCAGGGTGTGACGGGTCAGGAAGGGTTCTAGACACACACAGACTGTACTGCACAATCAACCAGGCACACTAGTGAAAAGGGGAAGCTTCGGCCAGTGCTAGAGGCAGGCTACTGGCCATGAGGGGCCAATGGTCTGCTTTAATATCGGGGGGGGGGGAATGCTAGAGGGACAGCTCCTGTGAAAGGTTGCTCAGAGTGCTCATGCAGGGGATACCCCAACCTGCCTTGCCCTTCGCTCCTTACCTGGGCTGCGCCACGGGTTTTGGGGGGAACTGGTTGGACAGCTTGGCCGCCTCCAGGATTCGCTTTCTGATTTCATCCAGGCTGGCTCTGTCTAACAGGGGGAGAAGCACCAGAGGTCTCTTGGCTGGAATCTACTGCCCGTATGTGCAAGGGAAGGGGCCTCCCTCCCCCCTCACAAGCCCCCAGTCCTGGGCTGGCCTCACCGCTCCTGGAGGAATCTAGGACACGGGGCCCCTGGCAGGGCAGGAACACAAGGGGGTCTGGCTCGGCGTGCCGATGGCCCAGCAAGGAGCACCCTCATCCCCCCGCTGCACGCAGGCCTTGTCTGGGGCTGCTGTATAATGGCTCCAGGTTGGGAATGACGTTCATGCACAAAGGTGCTAGGGAGCCCAAGGGGCTGTGGTGGGTCAGGACGGGGGGGGGGGCAGCGGCAGAGCTGTGGGGGGTGGAAATCTCCCTGCCGCTTCCTCCGTGGCACCGGCCTCACCAACGCTGCAGGGTTTCGTTCGCGATAGATGTTGAGGGTGGAGGTGGGGCTGGGGTTTCTCAGAGCAGGGCTAGGAAAGTGGGTGAGGGTTGGGCCCACAGGCCAGCTCCAGGGGCTGGCGCCACCTGCCAAAGCTACAGGCCAGTCTGGGAAGGCATCTGGACACCTGCCTTTTGCCCTTCCTCGCACGGGCACTCACCAGTGTTCCCGAACGTCCCGGGATTCCCCAGTGTCCCTGGGTTCCCGAACGTCCCGGGGTTCCCGAACGTCCCAGGGTTCCCCAGTGTCCCTGGATTCCCGAAGGTCCCGGGGTTCCCGAAGGTCCCGGGGTTGCTAGGATTTCTCAGGCCTGGGTTCCAAGCACTGCCCTGTAATGAGAGGAGAGTCACGCTGGCTAGCGGGGCCTGGAGCTCAGCTGCCGGCCACGGAGTCACCCACAAGAGCCAGCACGTGTGCAACCCGGAACGCTTTGCTCTGCCCACTCGGCACCAGCCGGTGATGTGCACGGACCGGAAGGAACGGGGGAGACCCTCCCTGGCTGACTCCTGGCAAAGATGTGCCTGGAGGAGGTTGGGGGGAAGGCCTCTGTCCCCTGCTATGCGCTGCCCTGGCCCTGGGGCCCCCCCATGAGCCAGCAAGCAGCCCAGAGGCCTTGCGGGAGTCGTACGGCTTGGGGGATCTGCTCCAGGGTGGGTATGTGGGGAGGAGGGTGCCAGGGGGGATAAACACACTATCTACCCACCCCCCCAACCTACGAGGACATCAATGGATGAACAATAGGGCTGCCAACTTTCTAATGGCACAAAACCGAACCCCCTGCCCTGGCCCTTCCCGAGGCCCCACCCCTGCTCGCTGCATCTCCTCTCCCTCGCTCGCTCTCCCCCACCCTCACTCACTTTCACCAGGCTGGGGCAGGGTGCGGGAGGGGGGTGAGGGTACTGGGGTGCATGAGGGGACTCCGGGCAGGGGGTTGGGTGTGGGCTCCGGCGGGGGTGCAGGCTCAGGGGTGGGGCTGGGGATGTGGAGTTTGGGGTGAAGGGGGGGCTCCTGGCTGGGACAGGGAGTGTTGGGGGCTGTGGGGAGGTGGTACAGGGTGCGGGCTCCGGAAGGGAGTTTGGGTGTGGGAGGGGACTCCGGGCTGGGGCAGGGGGTTGGGTTGTTGGAAGGGGTTTGGGGTCCTGGTGGTGCTTACCATGGCTCCCGGGAAGCAGCCGCCAGGTCCCTGCAGCCCCAAGATGCATGGGCGGTGGCCAGGGAGGCTCCATGTGCTGCTCTCATGCCCACAGGCGCCACTGTCATTGGTTGTGGTTCCCAGCCAATGGAAGCTGCGGAGCCGGCCCTCGGGGCAGGGCGTGGAGCCTCCCCGGCCGCCCATGCGCCTAGGGGCTGCAGGGATCTGGCGGCTGCTTCCCGGGAGCCACACAGAGCCAGGGCAGACATGGAGCCTGCCTTAGCCCCAGGCCCCCGCTGCGCCGCCCACCGGACTTTTAACAGCCCAGCCGGCACCGCCGCCAGGATCCCTTTTCGACCGGGCGTTCCGGGCGCCTGGCAACCCTAATGAACAGACAAACACCCGGAGGGCTGAACATGCCCAGATGGCAGGCTGGATTTGTGGGCACGTTCCTATGTACCCACCAGGAGGTGCGCACCTCCCCGCCCCCCGCCTCAGGACGGACGTGGGCGCGGACCGACGGCAGCCTGGGGCCCCCTCACCTTTGCCCTCCTGCAGCTCTCCAGTTGGGCCTTCGTGGCCTCTGCCTGGGCAAGAAGCTTGTTCTTCTCCTGCAGCTGCTGGTTCAGGTGCCCCTTCTCCTCCGTCAGCGTCTGCTTCTCCTGGTAGCTCCGCGTGGCCTCGGCGTCGCAGACAGCCTGCAGCGCCTGCAGCTGCTGCTGGTGCTGCTGGGTCTCCCTGTTGCACTGCTGCCTGCAGTCCTGCAGGTTCGCCTCGCTGAGCAGCTTCTCGCCCTGCAGCCGCCCGTTCTCCTGCGCCTGGGTCCGCACCTCCTGCTGCAGCTTGTCCCCCAGCGTCTTGAGCTGCGAGTTCAGCTGCTGGCTCAGAGTGGTGCAGCTGCTGGGCGAGTAGGATGGGAGGGTCCCCAATTTCCCCTGGAGGGTCTGATGGATGTTCTGGAACTCGCCCAGCATCTTCTCCCCCAGGCTGCAGCACTGGTTCTGCCCCAGGCTCTGCCCGCTGTACTGTGCCCGCAGGCGGATGGTCTCCTGCCGGCAGAGCTCCCGCTCACTGTTGGCACTGATGGCCGCCTGCTTCAGCTTCTCCGTCACCTGCGAGCAGTTCTCCCGCTGCTGCTGGGCCTCCCGCACCAGCCGGTCCCGGGCCTCCCGCAGGCTCAGCTTCTCGGCTGTGCCGGGAGAGGACAAGGCAGGGGTTGGGCCGATGGGGTGACGTCCCCCTGGGATCCGGCTCGCCTGCCCTCTACTCCCCCGTCCCCCCCATCCCCTACACCCAATCCCCCCCAGACCCTCCTCCCCTAGCACCCCCTCCCCTGCATCCTCCTTTCCCATCTCCTGCACCCAATCCCCTCCAGCACCCCCATCCCCAGCACCCTCATCCCCTGCACCCAATCCCCCTGGACCCTCCTATCCCAGCACCCCCATCCCCTGAACCCTCTTCCCTCAGCACCCCCATCCCCTGCACCCAGTCCCCCCAGACCCTTCTCCCCTAGCACCCCCATTCCCTGCACCCAAATGCCCTGGTTCCCCCTCCCACAGCACCCCATCCTCTCAGTTTGCCCTCCCTGCACCCAATCCCCCCACTGGAGTCAGCCCTGCTGTAGGGGCGGGACTCCTGGGGAAGAGCAGCCAATCACAGCTGCTGCAAGAGGCAGGTAGAGCAACCTCCTCCCCGCTCCCAGAAGCCCAGGGGAGTTTTTGGATAGGGGAGGGAGGGTGAAGGAACAGCCAACACCATTCTCACAGGAGGGGAGGGGACAGGAAGAGCCCAGCAGCTCAGGGTGGCTCTGTCCCCCCCCCGTGAACAATAAGTCAGTCTGCTCCCCCCTCCAACAAGGAGGGGGCAGGTGAAGAGCCCTGGAGCTCCAGGAGCAGAGGCGTGAGATTGGGGGTAAGGAGCAGCTGTGATGGGTGTGTGCAGAATTAATTGCTGGGCTGGGGGAGGGGCAGATGTGGGAGGGGGATGAGGATTAAGTCATTAGGCTCTGGGGTGTGGGTAACTAGCAGCTCACTGGTGATCTCGTGGGGTCCGACTCCTGATGTCTGAACTCTCGGGGTTAGCAGTGCTGAGTGGGGCAGAAATCCAGGGGGGCCACGTTGGGGTGCCCCCGGTTCAATACCGCACCCTGCTCCCACGTGGCAGGGGGACCCCACTGATCCCAGCAGGAATGGGGTGGTTGGGATAGAATCGCCTGGTGCCCGTTGGAAAAGGGAACCTGGCGGCTCTAGTCAGCACTGCTGCCCGGGCTGAGGCCGGCTCCCTGCCTGCCGTGGCTCTGTGCAGCTCCGAGAAGCAGCGGCACGTCCCCCCTCTGGCTCCTGGCCATAGGAACCGCGGCCAGTGGGCGCTGCGGGGCGGTGCCTGTGGACAGGGCAGCACGCAGAGCCACCTGGCCGCGCTTCCAAGGCGCAGCCGGAGGGGGGACGTGCCGCTGCTTCCGGGAGCTGCCTGAGGTCAGCGCTGCCTGGAGCCTGCACCCGTCACCCCTTCCTGTGCCCCAATCCCCTGCCACAGCCCTGATCCCCCCCCCCGCCCTCCAAACCCCTTGGCCTCACCCCAGAGCCTGCACCCCCAGCCAGAGCGCTCACCCCCCACATACCCCAACCCCCTGCCCCACCCCAGAGCCCCCTCTTGCACCATGAACCCCTCATTTCTGGCCCCAGCCTGGAACCTGCCCCCCCAGCCTAGAGCCCATACCCACTTCTGTGCCCCAACCCCCTGCCACAGCCCTGATCCCCCTCAGGCCAGCCTAGAGCACCCTCCTGCACCCCAAACCCATCATCCCCAGCCCCACCCCAGAGCCTGCACCCCCAGACGGAATCCTCACTCACCCCCTTCCCACACCCCAACCCCCTGAGCCAGTCCAGTGAAAATGAGCGACGGGGGGGGGGGTGAGTGGAGTGAGGAGGGGCGGGGCCTCGGAGGAGGGGCGGGGCAAGGGTGTTTGGTTTTGTGTGAGTAGAAAGTTGACAACCCTGGGTTGGGATCAGGTCCTACAAAGCTAAAATTATCTGCAGATAAAATGGGGGGGATTGGGGAGGGCGGCCCAGGGACTCCAACTGGGGCCAGGAGGGCCCCTGCTCCCGCAGCCCGGACGAAGTACGGTTTGCACCCCACTCTCCGCAACAGTGAGCACCACAATGCTGCCATGTGACCTTCCTGCTCACCACGGGCCTCCCTGGAGCCCCAGGTGCCCCACTGCCTGGGGGAGGACGTGCATGATGACCAGCCCCAGTGCTGTCAGGGGGAAGCAGGCCAGAATCTCTGACCTCAAGCAGGTGCAGTGAGCAGGATCAGGCAGTTCCCCGCTGCCTGGGGTGTTGGGGGCTGGTTGCATCCACGCCATGGACAGCCTGCGGGGACCCCGCCTGGCCCTGACATGACTCCACCAACACCAGTGGGACTGAGCTGGGCAGGGGAGGGAGAGGAGCAGGGAGCTCTCACCCACCGTAGCAGGTGATGTTCAGGATGTTCATGTTCCTGGAGCTTTCCTCCGCCATCAGCTTGTAGTACTGGGCGTAGATCAACATGTTCTGGCACTGGACCTGGGGAGAGAACGGGGGACGGAGCGTCAGAGCTTCCCTGCCGCAAGGGACACGTGGCCACCACGGCACCGGGGGAGCCATGCCCAGGCAATTCCTGGGAGGGCGGCAGAGATGTAGGAAGGGAATTGGCCGCTCTCCCTTTGCAGAACGGTGAGGAACATGGGCACTCCTGGAGACAAAGGGGCGGGGGGGGGGGCATTGTCTAGACATGGACTGTGGAAACTGCTTCCTCGTGAACATTCCTGCCCTGCTGGTGCCCCTCAGTCCTGACTCGCAGCCCCCTGTTATCCCAGCCCTGGGCTCACCTTACACACGGGTCTGCCAGTGCCCCTCAGTCCTGATTTGCATCCCCCACCCCCCCCGTGATTCCATTCCTGAGGGTAGACGCTTGACCCGTTGTGCCAGGCTGCTGCTGTGTGGCTTTGCGCAGACCAGCTGCTCCTGCTGCCCAGAACACATTTGAACAGAGAATGTGAGAGGTGAAACTTGGGTGGAAGGAGCCGACGAAAGGCGAAGGGTTGTTAGCTCAGAGGAAGAAGAATCCAGTGCAAAGTGACCAGGGGAGACGAGCCAGTAATCTCTGGCCTGCTGGTTCCCTGACTGGTTTCCCCCCAGTGTGGTGTGAGTTGTGCGTTCAGCAGTAGGATCTGCAGTGGGATAAAGGCTGTGGGTGAATCATTGGGCGCATTCGCTTTCCTCAAGTGCTGGCACTGGCAAAGCTCCAAGCTCCAAGCCTGTCTCTGTATTCTGCTCTGGGGTGTCTGTCTAAACCATTGTGGAACTTTGCAGGAAGTCCCTGTGAGTCTGTTTGTCTGATCACTAGGGAGCGGGGAGAGACAGATGGACGGAAGGAGAGAAATGTTCATTGATGAAACAGGAATGTTGCAACATACCAGACCGTGCTCGGTAACTAAAGAATCCCCCTGACTCATTTCTCCTGTTCAGAGGTGCTGAGCTCTAGGTCTCGCTCATCCCTAGGAGTTGTGGGGTGCTCAGCGCCCCAGCGAATCAGGACACGTTATGGTCAGTACACGAGGTCTTTATAAGAAGACCTGAGCCAAAATCCTGGATCCAAGCTCCCCAGTGAACTTGGTGGATCCAGATCTGGCTCAGCCCCGTCTCTGGGAAGCAGGATTCACTGGCGGTAGTTCTGTAGAATTGCTCAGTCAATGCTGTGACCCCGTTTGTGCTTCTGAAAGAGGCATGGACTCTTTGTCCTCTTCCGAATAGCTCACGGGATGGAATGAGACGCTGCGGGGGGGAGCCTGGGACCAGGGAAACCTGGGAGACTTTTGCATTGGGTGTGATGGGGTTTGCAAGACGATGTTGAGTTTCGCAAGTGCCTCCCAGCCCCCCGATCCATTTAAGCGAATTCCCCCCCCACACTTGTAACGAGCTGGAATCCAGCACTAATCAAATCCTCCAAACTCGGTTTGAAAGGCGTTCTCGCCCACGTGCCGAGACGAGTGGGGAACGGATTGAAAACTTCTGCAGCAGCCCAGCATGTGGCTGGCACCAAACAGAACCTGCATTCGCAAATGGCTTGAACGCTGCCCTCAATCCAGAACCTGAGATTTTCCCAGCGGGTTCTAATTTCTGGCAAAGTGAGTTTTCCGTTTCCCGGTTCAGAGCAAACCCGTGCCAGGGCCTTGCTGCGCGATTCCTTGCCTTGTCGGACGCTAAAGCAGCTCTTGGCAAAGGTGAATATTTAGGAGTCCCTAGCCCAGTGTCCGGTGTGATTGTGAAATGTGTCGGATAGTGACTGTTGTGCTTACATGTAAAAATCAATGGACAAACGGCTGGTGGAAATTGGTCTGGCTCCCCTGGCTTCAACACAGCTGAGAATCTGGCCCATAAATGGAATTGTGTGTATGTGTCTTTAGCATTGGTTAAAGGTGCCGGATTGACAGCCCCATGGATTCACTCTGGGTGTTAGCCCCAGACCAGCTACAGCAAGGGCCGGTGCTGCTTAACCTGGACCTGCAGAGACCATGCTTGGGAGCTGTGGGTTCAATTCCCTGCTCAGGCACAGACTTTGGCTAAGTCATCTGGGGAATGTCTGGGCTGGTTCGTGCCTGCTGGCTCAGGCGAAGGGGCTTTTCAGCGGTGGTGCAGACATTCGGGCTGGTGCCTGGGCTCTAGGACCCTGCGATGGGGGAGCCTGAACCATCTACGCTGCAAATAAAGAGCCCCTTAGCCCAGGTCAGCTGGCGCGGGCCGGGGTGGGTGTCTAATTGCAACAGAGACAGACCCGTAGCCTCTCTATGCCTTAGTTTCCCCATCTATAGAATGTGGACAAAAGCACTTCCACGGGGGGGGGGGGTGAGGCGCAGGGTCATATAAGAACCTAAGATGGAGAGACAGGAGAGCTTGAGGCTCTGAGTAAAGCCGATCTTGGTGCTGGTTTTTATGAGAAGTTAAAGAAAAACAGTCTGGGTTTTGTTCTACACTCAAAGGAGAGAAAATTGCGTCTTTAAGGCCTGAGCGTGGCGCAGACCCTGAGGGCGCAGGAGGGTGCGGTCACGCTCTGGGCGTCAGAACAGCTGCAGGAGGTAATTACCCCGTGGGCACCCAAAAGGAGCTAACATTTTTCCAACAAAACTTTTTTTTTCCTTTGCTCCAAAATCGACCTTTGTTAGAAAACAAACATTTTCAACAGAAACCCAACAACAAACCATAAAATAGGGTTTTGTGGCTTTGAGTTCTCCTTTTTCGGGGGGGAAGCTCAAGACCAAGAAACTGAACATATAAGAATTTTCACGGAAACTTTTGAATCAGCGTTTCTATCGGAAAGCTGCAAAATGAAAAGCACCTTGGCTTTTTACAAAAAATAATTCCATTTTCCAATTCTCTGCCTAGCTAATGAGCAATAGAGAAGTGTTAAGAAACTCCTCCAATGAGCATGGTAAGAATGGAGAAATGATAGAGGAGTAATTTCACCCACCACCATTGAAATGCTGCCACCTCTGGGGTGGAGCATGACAGATGTTTAACAATGCACAGCACTCTCAAGAAGAGATCGCTCTTAAAATTCTGAATTTCCCCTGCTTAGTGGTATCACGTCTATGAGTATTACAGTTAAGCCCTATGGAGAGGATGCTCGGTAGTGTGGTCCCAGGTTCCCCACGCTAATAAAACAAACATTTGCAGCGCCCCAGTCAGGGGATGAGAATATTTGGAGATGAAATTTGAATCGGTCACTTTCCTACTTGCAAAAGAATCTTCATGCCTCAGTGGATCGTATCACCCTGGTCAGCCCCTGAGCAGAAAGGAGAGATGGACGGATGGGCCGGGCATGGTGGGATTCCACCGAATTACCCTGGGGGTGAATTTGGCTCTGAAATCAGCATTGTGTTTGTTATTTCTTGACTGCGACCAAGGGGATCCTTGCTCTCTCTGTTCTTTGTGGGGGGATAGACAGCCAGCCTAGGGTCTAGGGATGGCTAGATAGAAAAACACGCTAGGTTCTAGGGTGGTGAGAGAGACGCACACTAGGAGGGAGGGATGGAAGGACAGACAGCTGGGGCACGGGGGCACGGTTCTCCGAGGCAGGCCTACCAGGTCGGCGTTGCAGGTCCGCAGGGTGGCGTTGCATTTCTCCAACTCTTTCTGGGTTGCCGTCATCTGCTGGAAGCAGCCGAGCTTCTCCTTGCTGGTAGCGTTGAGTTGCTGGGTGAGGTTTTTGTTCTTGGCGTTGAGCAGCGTCATCTTGCTGTAGAGCTCCTGGACCTGCTCCTCCAGGTGCCGCAGGTGGGTGTCGGTGCCGGCGTGGGCGTTGCCGTAGAGCATGAAGAGAACCAGCCCCAGGATGATGAGGAACTGGATGACCGAGGTGAATAGGAAGATGTATTTCATGTAGAAGCCACAGTCCCGCTTGGGGATCAGGTTGTCCCTGGACTCCAGGCCGAACTTGGCCATGGCGTAGGCGTTCTTGTCCATGTTGCAGGCTCACTGCTGCCGCCCGGCTCTCTGGCCCCGCTTTCAGTGGCAGTGGCGGTGGGGCGGGGCGCGTCCGCCCCTTATCCCCTCCAGCCGAGTGTTTATATTGCTCTATTTAATATTTCCTCCTGCCTGGCTCCTTCCTGCCTCTCCGGATGCACTGGCACAACACGGCTGCCGTTTCCACACGGGCTATTGTTCCCAGCCTGTCATGGACCGGGGCGAAACTCCCCGCGCCGCCCGCCCAGCTTTACTTGTGTGTCTCCAACTGACGTCCCAGCTGCTACTTCGGAGCAGGGTTGTGTGTGTGCGAGGGGGATGCTCCCTGCGACGGGCTCACAGGGCCTGATCTAAGGCTCTGTGAAATCGATGGAAAATCTCCTGACCGAATCCGTCCCAGCAGGCTGAGGTCTCCACAGGAAATACCCTGGTTCTGATTCCAGCCAGCTCCTCTCCTTATGGGAAATGTTAGAAACCGCTGCTTCCTATCCGACTTACTGGAGAACGAGAGCCCTCTACCCAAGCTTTCAGCCAGCCCGTAGAGTGTAATTAACAGAGGGTTATGCCCCCGCTGCAGGGTATAGGAAAGATCTCCTCCTGCGTTAGCTTCGATGGGGTTTTTCCATTGGGGGCACTTGCACTAGACTAAGCAATCGGGATCTCCCGAGCCAGTGACCCTTGGTGGTGCATGGCAGGGCTCAGAACAGACGTTGTGTGACTGCCAGTGCGTGACTCACCCCCTCGGCATCACTGGGGCTACTCGCATGGTGAATTACGCATGTACCTAAGTGCTTTGCTGGACCGGGATCAATGTCAACAGGGGGGCTGTTCTAGTTATAGCCATCCATCCAGTCCCATATCCTGTCTCTACCAATTGCTTCAGAGGAAGGGCCAAGAAAGCCCCTAGTGGACAGTTATGGAAAAACCTGCCCTTGGGGGAAAATTCCCTCCTGACCCCACTCGCTCAGTGGTTTGTTTATGCCCTGAAGCAGATGGGTTTTTCGCCCTTCTAACGGTTTTTATCCACTGGAATGTAGCTCTGGTTGATCTCATGATGCATAGAAATCTCTCTTTTTAAGAATCCTGCTCTGCTCTTTTGCTCTCAGTACTACCTAGTGGCAGAGAGTTCCACAGGCCAATTATGCCTGAGTTGCTCCTGGATTATTTAAAATCTGCTGCTTTACACTTTCATTGCACAATAATCGCAGCTAGAGTCAAGGTCCTTCATTACCGCGTGGGGTTTCTTTGGTCTCTTCCTAGGGCCTGTCTATGCGGCGAGTAACTGAATCTCCAGGGCACCAGTTGGCTGCCCAGTAACATCTCGTGTGGACACTGTTACAGCACAGTGACGGTCCCAGAAAGCTGCAGATTCACACCCTGACTTGCTGAGCAGGAACTCACGTGTAGAGCAGCCCCTAAGCATCTTCTCTTATTATTACATCAGTGACTAGAGGCCGCGACTGAGATCAGGGGTCCCACTGTGCCTGGTGCTGCACAGAGAGAGTCCCTGCCCCAAGGAACTTATACTGTTAAAAGACAAAAGGCAGGAGCAAGAGAAACTGAGTGGGGAAGTGACTTGCCCAAAGTCACAGAGCAGAGCCAGGACTAGAACGCAGGTTTCCTGAGTCCCAGTCTACTGCACTAGCCACTAGGCCGTGCTGTCTTGCAGAATGCTGTCTTCTTCCTTATTAACTAAACGGTAAATTTTCTCTAGCCAGTGACTGGATTGTCCAGCAACGCCGGTGCAAAGTGACTGGAGTACAGGGTGGCCGTCCCGTTAGTTTTCAGAGGAATGGTTTGGTGCTGGTCAGATTAGCCATGGGATGCAGGGACCGGCGGCAGGGTGGAAGCGAAGTGACTGTGCGTAGCCAATTTTCGGAACCCGTGTGGCTGATTCCCCAGTCCCACAGCTGGGACCGGTGGCGGCGTCTCTCGCAGTGGGAGCTGCCGCTCTCCGGATACTCCCCCAGATCTGGCACCTGCTGGGATGTAGGTTGGGAGAGGCCCAGGAAATGCTGCTGTTGGGGTCCACTAGGCATAGCTACCAGGTAACTCAAAAAAGCAAAAGGCCAAAAGTGCCAATAAAACTCTTTTGCTCTGGGCCTATCTAAACCCCCAAACCCCATCTTGTAAACTCTCACGCTAACTGCTTACATGCTCTAAAGCAGGCTAAAGCAAAAATGTAAGGTCAGCTTTTTAGCAGGTGGCTGCAGTTTCACTCACACTAGCAAAAATAATAAAAATAAGAAGCGGAAAAAAAAGGGGTAGTTAGTTTGCAAACGTCTAACTCAAGGTCGCAAAAACTAAAAAAGTTTTCTCACAAGCGTATGTAAAGCTTATTGTAACAGTTGTCTAAAAAAAAGGGGTAGAAAAAAAACAGCCAAACAAAAAAATGTATGTAAACAGTTTAAAGTATAAAAGGTAAAATTTGTTTGTATTTGTTGCACTAAATTTAAAACCTGCTGGTCTCCTAGTGCCATTTCAAAGCTCTGAAATAAACTTGGCTTGCTTTCTCCCCTCGGTGTCTTTATTGGTGCCAAGCACACCGGGCAACAAACCATTGTTGTCCCCTCAAGCCCTTTAGGGCGGGCAACACTGCTGCCCCCCATTCAGGGCAGCGGATCAGAGGGGATGTAAAACCAGTCCCAAGTGCTGAGCAGGGCAGCGGTGGCACTAGGGCTCCCTTAGCCAGATGGTAAAAGTAGACATGACGGTAGTGGACGTCTCTGATTGCCCAGCCAGTCTGTCCGGGAGCCGCATTGCCTGTCTCCCACCTGCGGCTGATGGGACACCAGTGGAAACCTGCCAGGGTTGGCATTTTGTTCCGAGAAACCTAGGGCCGATTTCTGCAGAGCCAGGCTGGGAATGGGCTCACGTTTTCACATCCGCCTGGAGCCAGTCTGTGTCTCTTGCGCTTTCAGCACAAAATCTTGCAGCAAAGCAGGAGGAACGCAGCAATCAAACACCCGCCACTGGCCCGGGTCAGGCTGCGGGGCTATAAAACTGCAGTGTAGACGTCCAGGCTCAGGCTGGAGCTGGGGCTCTGGGACCCCGCCAGCGGGGAGGGTCCCACAGGACCCCTGCTATCAGAATGGTGGCACTTCACTGGGTTGGTGATGTTTCTCCCCCTTCCCATTCCAGGAGTAGATGCCCCTCGAGCCAGGCCCACTGCAAACGGCGGCACAGCCCCAAGCCAAGCGAGCCGCCCCAGGCCTCGTTGCCGGGATGGACTCTACGGCCTGCGTCCCTTGTGGGCACGGAAAGGAGCTGGGAGCGGAGTGCCTGGATTTGTGGCTGAGACATGGGTGAGGCAGGAGGTGAGTGGGGGTAGCAGGAGGGGCTGAGTGGCTGAGGATGGGGCAGGAAGGGGATTTTCGGTGCGATGAGGCACCTGGGACCGGCCAAGGAAGCAGCACCATTTGCATTAAATACGCAGGGACCTGGCTTGGTTCTGTACAAAGCATCCACCCTGCAGACTGCCCAGAGGTGACGTGAGAGCAGATTGCAGCACAGGAGGCCTAAGCCATTGGGAAGGGGATGTTTGCAGCTGGGATTTGAGGGGGGATGTGGACAGTCAGGGGGGGCAGAGAGGTTCGGGGAGTCTGGCTGCCCCACATGGCAGGAGATGCAGAGGAGGCAGTCTGTGACCCCGCAGTGGGGAGGTCATACGGGGAGCTCGGTGGAGGGAGCGGGAAGGCGTGGACGGAGCGAAGGAGTGGGAACTGGAGGGCTCCGTGGTTCCAGGAAGGTCGGGATGCCGGCGTCCAGCCGCAGTGCTGGGAGGCTGGAGGGAAGGAACGGGGCAGGGTACGGCTGCATCGCATGCTCTCGGGAAGCCAATGGAAGTTCTGGACAGCAATGGGCATCGGGCCCTGGGTCTCCTGGCTTATCCAGAGGCCGCGGCGAGGAGGCCGCGAGTTGGAGTCACACTGGGAGGAAAGAGCCCAGTTGTAGCCTGGCTGAAGGAGACAAGAGGTCCCCTCTCCTGGCAGGTCTCAGGTACAAGGAGAATGTGGAGGACCTAGAGCACATGACGCCGCACAGCCCAGACAGGGGTGCTGTGGGCAGGGCCGCCCGGGGGGACACAAGTGGGGCAATTTGCCCCAGGCCCCGGGCCCCGCAGGGGCCCCGCGAGCCCTGGCCGAGAATCCCTTTCCTGGCTAGAGGTGCCTTTTTAATTTTTACTTACCCGGCAGTGGTCCGGGTCTTCGGCGGCGGGTCCTTCAGTGCTGCCAAAGACACGGAGCGAGTGAAGGACCTGCCGCCGACTCGGAGCGCCGCCCGGTGAGTATGTCCGCTCCCGCACTTTGCCCCAGGCCCCCTGAATCCTCTGGGTGGCCCTGGTCGTGGGAGACCAGGCTCGGGCCAGGGCTGCTTCTCCCAGTGGGTTCTGGGAAGGTGGCACCATGGGTAGCGGGTGAAGATAGAATGAACAGAGCTGGAGCTGGGGCTGTGAGGTGCATAGGGCTGCGCGCCCGCTGGGGGGCAGGACTGGGTGGTGCGGAGAGACCACAGCGCCCCATTTGGGGCTGGGAGTAGCTGGGTCTCTGGGGCTGGCCATTCACAAGCAGGTGCTACCAAATTACCATGCAACCATTCCGATCCCATTCCTGCCCCAGCTGGAGGCAGGGGAGTGAGGTTCTCTGCAGCAGGGGCTGGGGGGCACCAGACCTATAGGAGCCGCCTCTCAGGCCCTGTCTGTTCAGCCCAGCTGCTCCCAAGGGCTTGGGCCAGGCAGGGGGAGTCGCAGGTCTGGTGGGCCGGGCAGAGCACTGGTCCTGACACCAATTCACCCCGTCTAGCGATAGTGCAGGAGGTGAGTCACAGCTGGGATTGCCCGTGCGCCCATGGCTGGGGGGGAGCCTTGGTGGATGAAGCTGGGCTAGTGGGACTTCGTTCTGAGGTCTCCCGTGTGGAGAAGTAGGCTGCATTGGGCCCTCACCTACATCCCTGCAGCCCTAGAGAGCCCACAGGGGCACAGCGCGGACCCGGAGCGAATGGGCCAGCGGCGGCTCGGGGCGTGCGGAGAGGTGTCTGCCTGGGGCGACTGGCATGGCTGCCCTGGTGCCATAGCCCTGGGGTAGCAGCGTGTGTGCACGAGGGGCTCCCTGTGGGGCGCAGAGACGT